CCCTCGTGTGATATTTGTCCATAGTATCCGCTTCCTGAAGCTTCCAGCTTCGGATGCGACAGACTGACTGTGGTTCTGTTACTGCCGTCCGGTAACGCCAACCCGCGAACAAACCCCTAAATCTAGTAATTACTAGATAGTGATCCGTTCCTAGGTCAGCACCCCTGAACACTCGTATATCCATCACCTGTTTTCGCAGTCGGTCATCCACCAGGAACAAATCAATCATACTTCTCTCATTCTTTCTTTCTCTAGTGTACATATGGATTTTCCTGTGATTAAACATAGTGTTTGTCACAAGAAGACCCTTTTCTTTGCATACAGCCAGTATAAGCTTGCCATCATCATTAACCCTTTTATCGCCAAACTTTCCAAGCACCGACTCGTATCCTGGTCGAGCGATACCTACCCATCCATTCAAATCATCACATACAACAGTTCTTTCATTTCCCTTAACCAAATCTAGAACTTTTCTTACATTCTCCCAAAACTCCTCCAGCTCAGCCCTGGACGACGAAGCTACCGGCAAATAAACAGCCAAAAGGAATAACTTCGTCAGTCCCAGTTTAAAGCGAACCCAGAGAAGTCTTGAGTTCACAACCTTATGTTCAGTCATAAGATCGACCAACCGGGACGACAGCAGCACCCCCACTCCCTGGCGTTCTCGCTTTCCGGGACTCCCGACCATATAGCTAACGTCCCGCCAGGGAGCTCTTCAGTAGCACTGCCTTTCCGTTTGGTCTCCGACATACACACATCTTTTTTTTATAGAAGAGGGGGCAAACGAGCATGCGGCTCACCTGATGTTAAGTGAATACCGCCACCCATGATTAACCGCAACACCAGGGGAATTGCAGGTGCGTTGCCGGCCCTTTAGAAAGGAGTAAGCTCTTTTCTTGAAGGTCCCCAGGTCGTATTGGTCCGGAAAAATCGCCGGTGGTAAACTATTCCACAGAGAGGTTGTACGCGGAAGAAAACTATTTTTGAAACGTACTGTGGTGGACCGCCAAGCATCCAGATGGTGTGGATGGTATCGGGACGTTTGCCGCGTAGTGCGTTCACGAAATTTGGCGGCTGGAATTAATCCGAACAATTACTCAGAGCACTCTCCATGGTATATGCGAAATAAAATGCAAAGAGATGCAACATCTCTTCGCAGTGCCAGTGAATCGAGCCGATCGGAAAGCACTCGGTCGTCGACGATTCGAGCCGCTCTGCGCTGGATGCGGTCAAGTGGAAGGAACTGGTACTGGGGAACCCCAGCCCAGAGATGGGAACAGTATTCCATGTGCGGCCGAACCTGCGCCTTGTAAAGTCGCAGGCGGTGTGCCGGCATGAAATACTGTCCCGCTCTGCTGAGCACGCCAAGCTTTTTAGAGGCCAATTTGGCCTTCTCTTCCAAGTGACCACGAAACTGCACGTCACTCGATATGTCAACGCCGAGGATTCCAATACTGGCTGAGGCAACAAGGGGAGTGCCTTGAAACTGAGGAGATACGACAAAGGGGTTCTTTTTAGCGGTTAACGTGCAAACTTGTGTCTTCTGGGGGTTAAACTGGACTAGATTTAGTCGCCCCCAATCCGAGACTCTGTTCAGCAAAGACTCGACTTCAGACACAAGTTTGTCCCGGCACTCGGAGACGTTTTCCCGAGAAATATTGGCTCGGCCGGGGTAAAGAGCATCACCAGTGCTGTCATCTGCATAGCAATGAATGTTACGGGTTTGCAACATATCATTGATATGCAGAAGAAACAGCTTTGGCGATAGCACGCAGCCTTGTGGAACACCAGCATTAATAGGCTTGCAAGCGGAGCTTGCACCATCTACAACGACCTTGATGCTCCGATCTGCAAGAAAGCTGGTGATCCAATCGCACAATTTCTCGGGAAGTCCATAGGAAGGGAGCTTCGAAAGAAGCGCTTTGTACCAGACCCGATCGAAGGCCTTCGACTCTACTGCCTCCGCCCATCTATGAGTAAGGTGGACCATAAGATCACCAGCTGATCGACCACAACAGAAACCGTATTGGCAGTCACTGATCAGCTGGTGATCCTCAAGGTACCTCATAAGCTGACAGTTTACAATAGACTCCATTGTTTTAGAGAACAAGGTGATGGCGATAGGCCGGTAGTTGGACGGGTCTGAGCGGTCGCCTTTTTTAGGGATCGGGTGGACGAAAGCCGTCTTCCATGATTTTGGGACTACGCCTAGGGAGTAGGAGTACCGGAAAAGACGCGTTAAAACCGGTGCCAACTCTGAAGCACACGTCCGTCAGCACAATTGTGGGGATTCCGTCAGAACCACTCGACTTGTGGATGTCCAGGGAGAGGAGTGCTTTGCGAACCGAGCGCTGTGTGAACTGCACTTCGGCATGGAGCACTCACACCGCGGGTTGGTCGGCGGCGTACTCCCCCCGTCATCGAGAGTCGAGTTGGACGCAAAGAAAGAGCCTAGAAGATCGGCTTTCTCCTTTGCGGTATGGGCCAGTGAGTCTTCCTCCCTGTGTAGAGATGGAAGAGATGACTGACAGAAATTCCCCTGGACAGCCTTGGCGAGAGACCAGAATGCACGGGTTCCAGAAGGAAGGCGAACTAGTTTCTCGCCAATTATGCCTATGTGCTCTGACTTTGCCTTGGCAATGACTCTTTTGAAGGACCTAGAGGCGGAATTATACTTCTTTTTTATTGCGCTGGTGTTTACATCCCGGGACGCTGATGCGTCAGCCCAGGCTCGGTAGCACTCCTGCTTATAGCATGATGCTATTTTACAGGAGCGACCAAACCATGGCTGAGATTTGCATCCAATGCGCACCACAGAGGAAGGAATAAAAAGTTCCATACCCTGAAGTACCACATCAGCGACAGAATCCGCAACAAAGTTGGGATCGTCCGGCGAGAAGCAAACCCTTTGCATCCTTCCCAAGGGTAGGATGCAAAGAAAGACCGCATCCCATCCCAATCTGCTGACCTATAGTGCCAAACACGGCGGCAGCCTGCAGAATGCAACTGCGATTTAAGCGTGAGTGGCACCACACTCCGGACAAAACAATGGTCCGAGGAGCCTAAAGGGGCTTCGACGGAAATCTGATATCCGTCCGGGTGAGAGGTCAGCAGAAGCTCCAACAGGGAAGGTGCATGATCCTCCACATCTGGAATCCGCGTAGGCGAAGTAACCAGTTGTGTCAGACCATATGCCAAGGCAAAATCATGAACAGATCTCCCCGCATGATCGGTTAAACGTGAACCAAGCCATTCAGCGTGATGGGCGTTAAAGTCGCCGAGGATCACGATCTCTGCGGAGGGGATCTGCTGTAGCAACGAATCTGTAGCCATTTGGACGTGGTCGAAGAGTCGGTCTGTTTCGGCATTACCGCTATGGGACCTATAGAGGCACCCGTAGACGCGCGGATGGTCGTCGCTGTCTACGCGTAGCCAAAGGATGGACAGGTCCGAACCTTCAAGTCTGCCGAGGCGTCGAGAACAGATGTCCACTCTGACGTAAACGCAAACTCCAGCCCGAGGCACAAAGGAGTGTTCCAGTTTGTACCCCGGGTAGGAGAGATACGAAACATCAGCCGGAGAGGACACCTGCGTCTCGGTCAGGAAGAGCAGAGTCGGCCTCGCCGTCTCGAGATGGTAGTGGACGGTAGTTAATTCTCTTTCTTTCATTATTTCGATCAACTCATTCGTCTTATCTCTCATGCCCCCTCTAACATTCCACGTGCCAACTCTGCACTCCGTCCTCCACCTTCCGCCGTGTCGGGCTAGTAAGAGGTGACTATTGATAATAATTATTATTATTATTACTTAACAGGCTAGCAGTTGAAACAACTGATGTAAGCCTGTATCCTATTTTCAAATATGTAATTATTCTTATTTTAGATGTTTATCTAATCTGTTCTTGAAGTAGTTAATAGTTTGTGTAGATATTACTTCTGATGGCAGTTTATTCCATGCTTCAACCACTCTGGCTAAAAAAAGTGCTTGTGTGGGTTGTTATGTGACACGGTTTTGGTTAATTTGAAGTGATGTCCCCTAAGATGTGTGTTTGTTGAGTACTGGAATAAATCTCTGTCAAATTTTTTTCAGATCATAGTGTCGATGTATAATTTTATATGCTTCGATCAAGTCTCCCCGTTCTCTGTGATCCTTCAGTGTCGTTAGTTTAAGCTTATTCAACCTTTCTTCATATGGTATGTTTTTCAATACCCTAGGGACCTTTGAAAATCTACGTTGAACTTTCTCCAGTAACTCAATATCCTTTTTGAAATAGGGGCTCCAGATTTGGAATGCATACTCCAAAATAGGTCGAATGTATGCCTTATGTATTTTTAGCGTCATTTCTGGTGTAAGATGCCCAAAGGCTTTTTAATCAGGTAAATAAAACTATTTGCTTTTTGAGTTATAACTGTTATATGATGATTCCATTTTAAATCGTTACTTATATGCACACCTAAGTCTTTTTGTACTTTAACTAATGCTTTTTGTACTTTAACTATAATTCAAAAAAATATCTCACGGCATTGGGTAGCAGTATAACTGTGGCGGCACTATCTTCGCATCTCAAGCGAAATGCACCAAAGCCTAAATCCCACTATCAGTCCCGAAGTACTGCAGCATATAAAATAGCTCTGTGCCACCACACGGACCACTGGCCGCTTCCTGGAGTGATCTTGTTCGGTGCGATCTTACTATTAATTAAACGGCCAAATAACCATTTAGTTTACGCCAAACGAAAATAAAACATAAAATACTTAGATCAACGCTGGGAGTAGTGTCAAAGGTGTGATGTTTCAATTGCCACTCTACCAACCATGCTGTGGGATTAAGAAAAATCCTTCCTTAAATAGGAGATGCTTATGTTGAGCAGTGAACTTTCATGTGCTGTTGAAGAAATAGTGTCATAAAAAGTAGTAGTATCCACTTTCTGGGTGTAGAAGACCTCCCCATCCAGGCCCCTCATGCCGTCTCTAATAATTATGTACCTTGAATTTTCTTACATGAGAGCATCAGTAAATCGAAGTATAGGCGCCAATTGCAGTACTAGAATGAAGATCCTCAACCAATGGCGTTTGGTGAACTCATTGGTTACAGAGTCTTGTTGTTTATCTTGAGAATACCTGAGAGGGGTCAATAACTACAATTTTAATTTAATACATTATAATTTAATAAAAAAAACTACTAATTATTGTACACTAAGGAAAGATTATAAATACAGATATTGAGGGAATAGCAAAAGTCAGTTATTGTCACATACAACTCGGTTGAGTAAGTTTGCACTTGATGCGGATGACATAACAACAAAAATAATCCAAAAATTAAACAAATCGTCCGTGAACTTATGATACCTCCTTACTCGCATTTTTCGGAAAACCCTTTTTAATGCCATTGTTTGACAGACATCAGAACCAATAGAATACATTAACCTCCTAAATAAAATACTTGTTTGTTTGGTCACAATCCGTTCGGAGAAATACCTTCTAAATTTTGCTGCCCAATTTTTGCTGCAAATTTCAACAGATTTCTCGAGGAGCGCGTATGCGGCTATTCAGTATTCTGCTGTTTGGCATTCAAAAGTAAGATTTTAGTGTTTCATTACTTCATTGGTATTTACATTACTGTTATAGCTAACAGAAAATGTTTCACTGAATTTATTTAACAAAATATGTACGTAAATAAGATTACTAGCTATGATATATGATTTATTTTAGGTTAAAATATGATTCTGCTCTTCTTAGTGTCCCAAGCAGCGTTACCGGCCAACTCGAGAACTTCAGCGGCGAGGTACTCCATGACTGCAGCCAGGTCAATACGTCCAGCATCATGTGAATACGTCCAATGGGGAATTGTAAGCCGGCACAATTTGAACAGGACTTTTCCTTTCGCTTCACTTTACCGCCTTTACCACATCCAGACGTTGATCGTTAATTAATTGAATATCAAATTGACGCAACACACCGATATAGTCTTGAAGCAGATGGACAGACTAAAACCAAGTCACATAAGAACTTAATGTTAACTGGAGTTATGCGATCTTTGCCTGGAGCTCTTAATGCACTTCTATCCCTAACGCCCCCTTGATCTTTAGCTACACAAGGAGGCGAAGGCTAGTTTGTATAGGATTACCGCCCAGGGCAGTTTGAGCTTGCTCTCCCACAGATTGAAATCCACACTCGGCTCAATTAAGGAAACTCCAGTCTTATGCATGATCTCACATATCATGCTTCCACTATACACTTTTGATAAAAAGTATACAGTTGAACTACCCTCCAGAGAAGACTGCCTGAATGGCCAGGTTATCTGTGAGGTCGGTAGCCTCATATGGTACTCCGATGGGTCAATAATGGGCGTCGACGTAGGCTTTGGAATTTATGGAAAACGCCCCAAGTTCAAACTTAGTATGAACTTGGGTAGATTCACCTCTATCCTCCAGGCATAAATTTTTGCCATACTTCAGTGTACGGAAATCAATTTGTAAAAACACTACATCAACCATATAATTTATATAAACTCTGATAGTCAAGCAGCACTGCTAGCGCTGATGTCAAACTTAGTAAACTTGAAGCTAGTTGGAGACTGTGTGAACCGTTTAAATGCCCTGGGATATAACAATAGGGTCGTCTTAAGATGGGTTCCGGGTCACGCGGGTATTTTAGGCCACGAATTTGCTGACAAACTCACACAGGAGGGCTCAAAGAGTACACAATTTGGACCTGAGCCATTTTGTGTAATCTCAAGAAGCCTAACCCGGTTGACCCTTGAAACTCTTTATCACAATAAATCACTTAAGATCTGGTCTCAAAGCATAGCTTAAAACATTCTAAAACCTTAATCCGGCGTTTGGATCGTAAATTCGCTTCAGAAGCCCTGGCTAATCCCAAAAATTTGTTTGTATGTAGATAGGAGATCTCAAAGGTTCACGGAGGAAATAGAAAATGAAAATGAAGATGTGCATACCGGTAACAAAGATGCAAACTGTACTGATGCAACTGTATGAATGGAGGGTTAAGAGCTGAGAAACAGGGGTCAGGAAACAGGGTCTAACATTGTAGTGAGGTGCAAACTTAGCTCAACCAGGTTGTTGCAATTTCCACTAGTCAAGACAAAAGAATTAAATATACAGAAAGAAATATTATTGACAGCAAGGTGTTTACATGTTTTCTGAATTTGACATAAAAAAAAGTCCTCTAGACCGAATTTCGGCCACAGCAGCTTGCCTCAATGGAGGCTAGCCATCGGCGCAGGACAGGATTATAGTGCCCAAGTATATGCATAAGCACAGTTGCACTCTCTATTCCCTCACTCTCATAATCCGATGGAACCGTAAACCGACACGACCAGAGAGAGATCAGGCACAGGACCAATGGCTTTATGTGCATTCTGAGGCACGGAGGTGAGACACTACCAACTTCCTGACTCCGGGCAGCTACTAAGAATTTCTTGATGGAAAAACTGATTTTTTGGCCCGACCCAGGATTCAAACCCAGGACCTAATGATTAGCAGTCACACTACTACAACCACTAGACCAACGAGGCAGTCAAACACTAGTAATAAAATGCAGCTTTCTAAGTGGTGGCAGAAAAGGAGTCCCTTTTCTGCCTAAAAGTCCATCTGGGTAAATAACATCTTTACCAATTTCTACTGCTAAGTAGCACTACAACAGTTTGAGCAATGTCACAGTAACAACGTTGTAGGCAACTGCAACATTTATGCTGAGCTAGAGCCTATTCATTACTGCACTCTGTAATTTTGGTTATTTCTGTGTGTACTGCTCACAGGGTGTATTCAGGATATTCATAGAGTATTCCCATCTGGCTGGGCTGGATAAATATATAAAAGGAAATGAGAAACATACATAAATATATATTTAATATACTAACATATATAAATAAATAATACATAAATAAATAAAAGCCCAACTATCTCTCTATCTCTATCTATCTATATATACTCACATGTAAATACACACATCTGTAGGCTTCTTTGTTTGAAGTTGGTGACAGGTGCCCTAACGCTGCGTTAACCACTTACCATCAGGTAAGTTATTTGTGAGTAAAGAAATAAGGTTAATATCAGACAACAGGGTGAGGTGCAGCTGTGGTGGCCAAAGGACCACGTTAAACCGCGGAAGTTTAATCCTAAAACAGAGGTGTTGCACTTTTTTTCACTATCTACCCCTTCTTTTTCTTTCCCTTTCACTTAGTAGAATTCTAAGAAAAGATTACCACTGTTGTTTACTGAAACTATGTGATTAAGCATCCCCTTGATTATTTCTAGTGGTAGTTAAATAAGAAAATAAAACATGTAGAAGTAACTTACATTCTTATCGACACCGCAGTGTTAACAAAAGCTGGTAAAAGTATGAATGTCAGCGTCCAACCAAATTCCATCATCTTTTGAGCCAAAGAATATCTTATAGCCACATTTATATCCAAGCCTAAGTCAACTAAATGCCCAACAATAGCAACCACGTACATAATAATATCCAAGTTGCTAATGGTTATATTCTTAGGTATTCGATCTGGTTCATCATGTGAGTATCCTTTTTCGAAAATTTTGCGCATCGCTTTCGACATTTTTAAGTATTATAGGTACTTTTGTTTACAACATGTTCAAAGTAAACTTTTATTCAAATTATTTTACTCTCAAGTAAACAAAAACAAAACAACAACAACGGCCACCGAGAAACTTGACGCGCCTTTTTTGACATTGACAGTGGAGTGGACACTAGGCATGTCGACCTAAAATCGATTAATCGAAAAATCGATTCTTTGGAGCAAAATAATCGTTTAATTTTTAGATCGATTCAGCGCACCGCATCGATTCACTGAATCGATTCAAAAACCTCTCGAATCGGACCGATTCATCTCATTCTAGAACCAGCGATAAAATTCCCAAACTGGCTGGGGTAAGATGCCGTAGTTTTTTTAATTTTTTGCTGTTGAGAGACGCAAAAACAACCGATCTTACTTGATTGATAATTTGAACGCAATATACAACACGTAACATAATTAACGCACTTTGAGAAAGTAGTTTGTTCAGAATTGTTTACTGAATCGATATCATGTAATTTTTTATTCCAAAAATAATTAAAACTACGTAAATTACAGTCACACTAAATCTGTATAGTCAAAACAAACTGAAATGGACCGTAAATTAAGGCAATAAGACTTTTAAGAGTGCAGTTTTATTTGTATTATTACTAATTCTGTCATTCAATAAAAATAAAGAAAAATGGACTTTATTTCAAGCACGTTAAAGTCTTTGCGTTCGTGGATTTGTACTGTGACCACAACATTCTTCCGGAATTAGTATAACTAATTTGATAAATAATCAATGCATAAAAATGTTTAACTAAAAATTCAGTGTATGTATTATGGTTATAACATAATATACAAATTGGGGTGTCTGAGGGTGTGCGTTAATTACGTTACATATTGTATATTTGAACAAAATAAATATTTATGAACGCATCCAACAATATCGAAAAGTTGTCATTTCATTTTCATTTCTAAATTTCTAATTCTATTCTTACCTGTGGATTGTTGGTCTAACTTAATCTGTGCTGTGAACAAAACTACATATACATACTACAATTTAATATTATAGCTGTGAACCTGTTTGAACTGTGAACTTGCGAATTTACTTTATTATCAAAAACATACATACAGTGAGCTGTAAGTACAGACGGAGTACTTTTCTAGATGTTGTAAATAAATATTATATGTTGAAATTTATAGAGGTTTATAGTAAGGAAATAACCAGTATTGTGTTCGTGTAGCATTCATTTCAATTTGATAGATTGAAACAGACTGATCGAGAAATTTACGTTGCAGTTTGCCCTTTTGTTAAAGTATTGTTGTTGTTTTTAGCCTAAAATGTCAAATAAAAGTGATACATGTAATTACTTTGTAAAAAAAGGGATCGAGTGGCGAACCACCCCTAAAACAAACGTTTCAAGCTTACCAAGAGAGGTTAAAAGGAATATTAGTAATTTTAATTAATAAGATTACTAATATTTTAATTTCCAAAAAATATTAAGGTTCAATTAAGTAAAAAATCGCAAATTCTTGAAATTTCATGTTTGAAAGTGTCGCGATTAATCGAAAATCGATCTTTTAATCCTCGATTTAATCGATAATCGATTCTAGTATCTTCGATTCGAATCTATTCAGAGATCGATTTTTTTAAGAGTGAATCGATATGCCTAGTGGACACCAATAAAGAGAAAGCCACAGACTTGAATGATAGTTTTTTGAGCCATATCTTCATTTCATTCGGGATTTTTGTTTTTATAGATTTTTTCTTCACAATATTCTGTTGCGTAACGTTGCGAAGTTTTTGGGAAATTTCGACGACAACTCAACCCAGCGTTCATTCGATGACGACATTCACACACTTTTTCTCTAATATTCACACTGTTACGTATCAAAATCCACTTCAAACCATTATTTAAACGATAAGACAGGAGCGTTAATCCGTCGTCTGGTTTCCGGGAGGAAAGCCGGCGAGTGAATTGTGGAAGCCCGCCTGGCTACGCTGAATGTATGTGAAACAATGAATGATAAGATGGATGAAGTATGCGTTATGCTGTATGATGGAGGAATAGATGTATTATGTGTAAATGAGACGAATCGGAAGGGAAAGGATGCAAGGTGTAAACGAAACTGAGCGGGCATGCCACGGAGTCGGTATCATCATTTCAGAAAAAATGGGTCAATGTGTGAAAGAGTACGAATGTGTAAGCCCGAGAATGGATCATTCTCTAAATCTACAATTACACTATGGATACGAATGAAAGTGGGGTTAAAGAAATTGTTTCTTCTAGGGGTCTGAACCCCAGACATGTCTAATCTAAGCCCACTTATATTCAAGATCAATTTTGGGAGATGGTAAGCATGGTATTAATGAAATGTAAGGGAAATGAAAATATTGTTATGTTAGGAGATTTTAATGGAAGGGTTGGGGTGAAGAGGCTTGGTTATGTAAGGATATTGGGAACGTTTGGTGATAATGAAGTATAAATGAAAATGGTGAAAGCCTCATCTCACCGTATATGTGAAAAATAACATTTTTATGACGAACACTTTTTGTCATACGAAGATACACATGTATACATGGGAAAGAGGTAATGACAGAAGCATGATAGATTGCACAATTGTGGATTAAAGAATGAAGAGCGCAGTGGTAGATGTCCGCGCCACTCGCGCGCGACGATTGATTCCCTGATTCGCTTTCTCTCTCTCATTCATTGATTCGGCGCGAGAGCAGTATTGCGTCAGTCGCAGCCCCGGAAGGGAGTCACGCGCCGCCCTCGTTCGAAAAAAGGTGTAAGAAAGCGCGTCCGCGACCTTCAGCTCATCAGCTCACATTAATTACGTATATATTGCCGGCCGGTATCTAATATATCTAAGTGATAATCATTACGAACAATTAAACATTAAAGTGAAAGTGACAGTGTATGATATAAGACTTTAGTTGCACGTGTATACATTTAACGGCATAACCAGCTCAGGAGCGTGCCAACCACCCGGCACCATTCATTTATCATCCGCCCATCTGCATTCAAAGTAAGTGCACACCCTTACATTTCCTCTCCAATTTCGTTCAACCAGCGCTTCAGCTCACCGTCGATGTGAGGCTTTCCCTCACATTTTCTGGTCCTTCAAGCATCTGAACCAGCGACCCCTGCTCATTTTACGGTCCTTCGATTATAAGAAATAAGCCCCTATGGATAAACAGTGTCCTAAGACCGGGAAATAAACCCAACCACACCCATAAAGTTACCCACATTTCTCTCAACAAAATATTAAATTCTTTTAAATAGATAAAAATTTCTTAAGTATGTAATCATATAATCTCAGCCCATATATTAAAATTCATTAATACATATTTAACATTAACATTTATTAAAAAATAATTCACATCTCAATACATTGTTTCTCTAGGTAATAAGTAAATAGTATTAATATTATTAATTATATGTACTTACTCGTGTTATTTCTTTCTCAATAGGCATTATTATTAATTTCGTATATAAGTTTTTTAATATTATTTTCGTTCTGGTGACTAATACACGGCGATTGAATTGTAATATGTTCGTTGCAAAAATTATATTGCCTGTTTATTCTATTATTAGTGTTAACTTTTAAAATACTTTTACATAATTTAAGTTGTAGGTATATTCTGCTCACTTTACATTCTCTGCTCCGCGCTTATCTTAAGTTCTGCTCAGTAACATATTATAACACTTACAACACACACTCGCATTTATTTATTTTTAACCGACTTCCAAAAAAGGAGGAGGTTCACAATTCGATTGTATTTTTTTTTTCTTTTTTCTCTCATTCTTCTTTTATAATAATTTACATACAATGCCGTCCAAGTCTAAAGCGGCCATTTTTCGTGAGGCGATAAAGGCAATTAACCAGCTGAAGGAAATTGCCTTGGCGGTAATAGCTAAGGATACGAAAAAGTATACTATAACGTACTTTACTGCTAGGTACGCCAAGCTAGAGGAACACAAGCACAAATTGGAGAACGTCTTCTACGAGATCCTGGATGATGAGGACCTCACCGATGAGGTCGAGGCCACCTATAAAAAGAATTATGAGAAGGTGATTTCAGATTACAATGACATCTTAGTTGCGTTTGAAAAATTAATTGTGGCTTCAGCTCTTCCGGAGACTGCTCACCCGTCCACGTCAGCCACACCTGCTCACGTTCTGCCCAAAATTGCTCTGCCGAAGTTCAGCTCTAAAATTGAAGACTGGCCTTCCTTCATAGCCATCTTTAGAAGTCTTACAGATGACATGACCACCATTTCGGATTCTGTGAAGCTTCATTACCTGCTCTCGTGCCTATCAGGCGAGGCACGCAGTATGGTATCTCATCTTCAGCTCACCAACGAGAATTTCGCCGTGGCCATGGATATTCTGACCAGACGATATGAAAACCGTCGCGTCCTGATCGACCGGTTTGTGGACATTATACTAGAGCTACCACACATCCATACACGCTCTGATATCCGCACACTCTTCTTGACTCCGCTCATTTCTGCGCAATGCGCCCTCAACAATCTCGATCTGCCCATGAAGGATAGTGACTACGTTTTCGTATCGATAGTAGTACGAAAGCTTAAGGGTGAGCTTCGCACCCTCTTTGAGCGTAAATATGGATCAAGTCAGACTCTGCCAACTCTCAAGAATTTAATCACCTTCTTGGAAGAACACGCGCGTTGTGTGGAGACCGAGTGGTCCAGCCCACACTCTTCACAAGCCAGTCGGCACTCCCCACAGACCAACCAATACCGCAGGCGGTCCTCCTCTTCTTCTCCACAGGTTTCGCCTCGTCAACCCGCTCATCATCAATTTCGGCCCATTCACCCGACTACAAGTCGGCACGACTATAAAACCCCGCAGCCGGCTCCGCTCAGGCCGGTATACTCGGCTCAACCATCAGCTCCTGCCGCTCCCATTGCGGATAATATGCCCTGCCCATTCTGCAGACATAGAGGGCACAAGCTCATCGCCTGCCCGAGGTACAATGACCAACCGATCCAGGGCCGATGGGACTT